TAGCTGAAGCTGATCGAAGGCTGCCTTGAAGAGGATATCTGCCGAGCTGCCCGAATCGACTAGGACGCGCCTGACTTCGAAGTCATTGATCTTGATCTTTATGACGAGTGTGTCATCATGGGGGTAATGGACCCCTCGTGCATTGTCCTCAGTGAAGAAGATCAGTTCCTACATCCTTGGCCACTTTGGGGGGTTAAGCTCTTCCCTGGCGGCCTCGCGGGCTGATGACCGAGCTGCTGCCGAAGTGCAGCCCGCGACAATTGATCCCCCGACAATGACTTGGATGGTCCCCCGAACTGGTCTCTTGTCGGGAGGTTGCCTCTATGGCTGTTCTTCTTGTTTGCTGGACTCGAGAGCTTCTTTACCCTGCTCCCTGTGCCTACTTGTATTATTATTATTATTATTATTATGTTGTACAAAATTTCTTAGATACCCGCGACGGATAAGTTCTTCTATCTCGTCGCGAAGGTTCTTACAGTTTTCGATACTATGACCGTGATCTCTATGGAAACTACAATATAAGTTTTTATTTCTATCATTGGGATCGACCTTAAGCCGAGGTGGCCACTTCACGTATGGGGCGCCCTTGATTGCCATGAGGATCTCGGCCCGCCTTGTGTTGAGGGGCGTATAATCCCTTTCTGTTGCCAGAGCTCGAAAAGGCTGGATTGGCTTTGCCCCCCGAGCTAGGTCCTTCTTCTTCTTGCTGTCACTTGGAGTTGGGGGCTCCGATTCCCTTTTTCTTTTTTCAAGGGCCTACTCGCCCTTCTGGTTGATCTCCTCCTCTGTCCCTATGAACCGATCTGTCAGTTTGAGGAACTCGGTCATGGTCTTGGGTTGGTTGACCACCACGTGCCATCTGAACTCCTTGTGGGTAATGCCTCGCTTGGCCGCAGTGAGCCGAACTACAGGGTCTAGGTCGGGTATCTACAGGCAAGCATCATTAAACTACTTAATGTAGTTCCGAATGGACTCTCCTTCTCTTTGGACTATGCCGAGGAGGCTTTCTTGGGTCCTCGGGCACCTCTTATTGGTGACGAAGTGGGAGGTGAAGACCTGCACGAACTGCACCCAACTCCTTATTGAGCCCCGCGCGAGGTTTCAATACCAGGTGCGGGCTACTCCCTTGAAAGTAGTGGAGAAGGCCACGCACATGCAAGACTCACTCGCCCTGGCCAAATGCATCTGGGACTGGAAGGCATCGACGTGGTCATTGGGGTCAAAGGACCCATCGTACTTGTCCAGTGGGGGGAGCTTAAAGTCCCTTGGCTTGGGGACAGCAAGGAGCTCCCGGGACAGAGGGGAGGGAACTGAAAGAAGTGGTGTAGCTTTTACCTCTTCCAAACTTATTTCTACTTTGCCTCTGAGCTCGGGGCAGGCTGTGGGTGGTGGCAGTTCGGCGAGCTCGGTGATGTCTCAGCTACGTCTTGGCTGGCTTAGCGTTGGTGCTGCTGGCCTCGGTGTTACTGAGCTTGATGGGCCTAGAGAGAGGCAGGAACGACTATCGTTAGCTGCGAACAGAGGGACCTTGTTCCAGGTCGTCGGCTAGCACTTGGAACCTGTTCTCCACAAGCAGAGGTTCGAACTATGAATGCTGAGGTGACGCCGGCCTGACCGGCTAGGAGGCCCCCATCCTGACTTTAGGCCGCGAGGCGGGGGTAGGGAGCCTTTCCTTCCTTCCATGAGACGATGCTGAGGTCTCTCCTCAACGGGAAGGGAGTTCACTATGGTGGTGAGGCTTGGTCGGCTGCGCAGCCAGATGTCGGGGAGGGAATGAAGGAAATTGTTGCTGATACTGATACTGGGACACTTGGTGCAACACTTGTTGCTGGTGGAACTGAAGTTGCTGGAACTATTGCATTTGGGCCTGCATGGCTCGCATGCATTGCATCAGCTCTTCAAACTGACCTTGGCTGGCCACTGAAGGGAGGATGGTGGGTTTAGCAAAGGTTGTTCCAATGGTAGAGGGTAATGGAACGGTCATGGGAGCCACCGTCAGGGGCACATTTAGACTAGGTACCCTGTCCACGGAGAGGGGGACGGTGAACTACCCAATGCAGACGGTGGGTAGCTGGAGTTGTTCCTCTGGGGTGTTCCGGCGTCCGGAGTTGCTGGAGGAAGCCATGGTGATGGTGAGTTCTTTGAGGGAAGTTTCACAGAAGTTAGAGGAAGGCCTTTTGAAGCGTTCTCACAGATAGCGCCAAATGATGCTGCACAATCTGGGCACTCCTAGCTGACTGAGAGTTAGCTCCTATCTGTGATAGATGGCACCTGAGAGGAAGAAGAAGGTGAAGGGTTCCCGGGGAGCTCTCCCGGAGGGAACACTCCGATGGCTAAGTTAGAACTCTAGGGAAAACTCAAAGAAGATGCAGAGAGTTAAGAGTGCTGAAAGTGCTAGCTTCAATACCTTTGCCTCGTGAGGGTTGGGGTTCTTTTATACTGGAGCTCGGCCATATCTGGCATAACCGCCACCGCCCTAGCCATTACTGCCAGGGCAGGTGTGGCAGGTGCAGGTTGCTGTTGCCAGGTACGGACTCGACAGGCGCACCATGCTTTTCAAAGACTGCAAATAGAACACCACCTAGCAAGCAAAACGCCGCCTGGCAAGGGATCCGAGCCCTGCCACCGGATCCGGTAGGTACGGATGTCAGGCAGGCACGAATGTCAGGTAGATCTCCCTGCAGCCTGCCGAGCTATTGTACGCCGAGGTGCCCGCACTGGAGGCGGGCCTTAAGCAAGTTCGAACAGGAGTCTCGACGATGCTGCCCTGAGGTATTTCTCCCTCGGGACACTTAGCCAAAAACCGGGGTGCTCCCTTCTTAGGAAGGGAGAGCTCGGGGCCCCTTAGGAGGAGCTCGGGTCTCAAGGGGAGCTCGGGCCCTGAGAGGAGTTCGGGATCTCCCACACTTGGTGGGAGTCAAGGTCGGCCGAGAGCTAGTCCTCGGCGAGTCGCTTAACTCGCTGAGTGACCAATGTTGGACTCGGCGGGTCCCTCTCGTCGAGTTACGGTTGTGCTGTTAGGCTGAGCTGTTCGTCGAGCCAAGTCACGCACACATGTCCCTGTGCTACGAGGTCAGGCCAAATCACCCTCTATCAGTGCCATTTGGCAAGTCTTTTTATAAAGATCTTCTAGCATTCTATATGGCCAAAAGATATATTGAGTTTTTGGGGTACTGTCTTTAAAGACAAAGACCATTTGGTATGCAACTCAATCTATTGGGCTTTTAAAAATGCGTTTCAAAGCTATATACCAGAAAGCTCCACTTGAATCTCCTGATTTTTGGTCTTCCGAGCTTGATGAAGCACAGAAGATCATGTGGAAAGACTTGTCAAATGCCACCTATAATTGTTCTATTTAAAGTTTAAAAACATCAAATTTTAACTCCTAGTATTAAAAATTTCAGCGAACCCTGAAATGATATGATACCTATTGATACTTTGACTCTTGGCCACAAATCAATCATCATTCACTTAATGTCTTTTCCTACCTTCATTTTCCCTTGCATTATGACCACCCTCCTATCCTCGGCATTAGTTATTATCCACAAATCACCACCCCCAATTTATACTCGATTCCCACTTTTTTGTTGCCACGAAGAAGCAAAACATCAAGGGAGATTTTAGCAATGCATCAAAAAAATATGGGAAATTGTCTAAAACTCACTATGAGATTTCAGCATTTCTCATAAATTCACCACAACTTTTCAAAGTATCTAAACTCACCATGTCACTAACTTGATATTAAATAGACTAACAGGTGTTAATATATTATCATTTTAACCTTTATAGAAAAATATAAAATATATACAAAATAAATTAGTGGGTGTTAATATATTACCGTTTTAATATTTAGACATGAAAAAAGGAAAAAGTTCAAAAAATATTTTTCAATATAAAATACATAAAAACATATAAATTACATAAAATATAAAAAATTATCAAAATTGAAAACAAAATAAAAAATTATTTCAAATTATAGAAACAATAGAAATTGAAAAACAAAATCAAAAAAATAAAAATTGTAGAAAAAACATAAAAAATTATAGAAAAACACAAAAAATGTAAATAAATAACAAAAGTACAGGAAAATTTATAGATTGTAGAAAATAGAAAAATGTAACAAAACAGAAATTATAACAAAACACTAAAAATACAAAAAAATGAAAAACTTAAAAAGCAAAAAAGACCATTTTTCATTTAACCTACCCTTCAAGGGTAATTTGATCATGAAAATTGTTATTTATGCTATATAGACACCTCTGCTAAGAAGAAGGGTTTTAAAAAATAAAAGCTTATGATATGAAAGTTTTATTGTATTTAAGAGAAATGTTAAAAATTTATGGTGACTTTTTAGTCTTTTAAGACAGTTTCCCAAAAAAATATTTATAGGCAGGGTGAAAAGATGTCGCTGTCACGTGTGACACGTCCAAAATATACAGGGCACCCGACAATCTATCCAATCCAAAGCTTAGGAAAAGCGCAAAAAGCACAAAAAGCACAAAAAAGCGAAAACCGTCAAAAAAAAGTGAGGGGGAGAGAGAAAGCTGTGGGCGGATTGCGACTTTTTTGAAATTTGGTTTTTTAACGTTTAAACTCCGAAAATGGAAAATAAAAAATTGACTGTGAGTTGAGCACATCTCATTTTGGGCACACCCTTATCCATTCCATTGGTTTTTTGTCAGTGTAACCGTACAAGTTTTTAATAGACGAAACTATCCCAATTAATTGATGTTTCTGAGAGGAGAATGTGTGCTGATTATCCAAGGTTGGAATGTGCCCATATCAGTACCAAACAGAAAAACCCGAAGCTCACCCAAAAAAAAAAAAAAAAAAAAAACCCAGAAAAACCCAAAATTAACTTCTCTCTCGTCCTCCTCGTTTCACCGCGCGCTCCAACTCTCTCGTCCAAGACAACCTCAACCTGTGCTTTCTGTCTCTCCCTTTCTTTCTCTATCCGATTCGCTCAACGGAAACTATCAGGTTTTTTCTTTTTCCCTTCCACATTTTTACTTTATGTTCTTTCTCCTCTTTTTTCTTCCTTGGATTTTCACCATTCATATCTGCTGCCTTGTTTTTAATTCTTTTCGGAGCTTCGTATCAAAGGACAAAAATCGTTAGATTTCTTAAAGAAAGGAAGGATTTTTGCAGAAGTTCTTAAATTCTTGTTAGCTTCACTTATCCTTGTTGTAGTTGATCATTCTGGTCTCTACATACGCTGAATTCTTATTTCGATTTCTTTTTCTTTTCGTTCTTGAAGTGGAAATTAGGTATGTTCAATTCTATTCTTGAAGAATTTTAGAAATTTCTTTTGCTTTTTTTTTGACTATTGGCAATTTGGTCTTCTCTATTGTTCTTAATTTTCTTTTCTTTTAATATTTCTAGTGAACTTACAGCTCTTTAGGCTTCTGGTTGGAATTAGGTCATAAAGTATGCATGTGGTCGTTGATGATAGATTCTTTCGTCTCGCCATATAGAAAATCGTTTTTCTGGAGGTTAATAATGAATGCAAACTTTCTAATCTTGTTGTGCACTCGGCACAAGGCTTTCACTCTAAAGTTGCTCTCAGACCTGATCAGACTGCTATTCGGTGCAAGGAAAACAAAAAATTCTTGTCTGTAGTCTGAATTATCAGAAATCCTGAAACATCTATCTTACAACAGATTATTATTTTAAAAGATGTCACAGACAATTTTGATACCTACTTAATGGCGAGACTTTAGTCTTCGGTAAGGTGAATTCATTATCATATGCCTGAATAGTACTTGGTTTGGGAGAAATCACGTAAAGTTCACATGTTATAAAAACCATCACAGATCTTGTATTCCTAGAAATAATTTATTGTTTTGAAAAGTTTAACTGTCGACTTCCTAGGATCCTGGACAGTAGGAAAGTATCACATCCAGGATATTGTAGCAGAGTCTTCACCGCAATTAGTATGTAGTCCTAACCAAACCTTGGTCTGTACAGTCGTTATCAACATCCTAGATTTCAAGAGGGAAAGAATTCATCTCCTTCAGACAGCTAGGGAATTAGGGTAGGAATTCATCCCGTTTAGCACATGGTTATAGAATTATGCTATTCCTGCAAACAATTCCTGATACCTTTTCATGTTACTTGTGTTGCGTAAGTAGTAACTCTTGGAGTTACGTTTTTGTCCATACTGCAATGGTGGACGAACATAGTATTTTGGTTTGCCATTTTTTAAGGTAGCTATGGCCTTTAATTTTGTTTTCTCCAATGCATTTTTATTTCAGGAGAATTATTGGGACATTGGTTACTACCCCATCACATGCACACTGTAAGGCATTGCATCTTCTTCACCTTTCTAAACTTGAATTTTTTCCAAGAGCATATGAGATGGATGTCCTAGATCCGGTCTTCCCAGGGGCATTGTTAGAACAGATTGACCAGCATCAAAATTTGGTAAACAATGTTTTTGGACCTAAGTGTTCTTCAAAATGTGCTTCAATTTCTGATATATCTGTGTCCAAGCTTCTCGAAAAGCCAGTGCATAAAGTTTCACCAGGTTTCAAGGATAAGAAGAGTTTAAAACAAAGTGGTTCCTGCCAGGAGGCTCCTGATGATATTCATGGCCTTTCTAGGCCTTTCGGTTTGCATGCTTCTGGTGTAAGTACAGCCAGCTCACTTGCTGATTCTGCAAACATTGATAAGCCTGTTACAAAGATTACCAAGAAGAAGAACAAGAAGAAACGGAAGTCATACAAAAAATTATTGGCAGATGTTGTTGTTGAGACTGAACCAAGTGAATGCGGTCATGATATTGCCGTAGCACCTTACCACTCATCCAAGGAGGAGATGGAGGATGTCAAAGGTTACAAAATACAAACAAGCAATTATACAGAGCTTGATTGGGAGAAAAGCAAAAATATGTCTCTCTCTTCTGCAGTTACTGCATCCAGCTGTGCCTCTGAACATGGAGATACATTTTTGAAGGATGCTAGTGATTGTGACAGCAAGCTACTTTCTGAATGTTCCTCTAGTGGATCCTCTGATTTTCCAGGAAATAATATGTTTTCTGATGTTTGGAATAGTGACTGTGTTATTGATATCTGTGAACGGGTTTCAAATGGGATCCTGCAATCAGCAGAAGATCTAAACACAATGGAGAATAAATCCATTTCAGAGTGTAATAGTTCTTCTGTAGCTAATCTTAAGAAGATTAATTCTTTTGAATGCCTTTCTCAATTTGAATCCTCTGAAACTAGACAACAGTTTAATTTCAGCAATGTTCATGCAGGTACACTAAATAAGGAATGCAAACATGATAAGATGACATCTCATAGTGATATCATAAACAAACGTGGTCATCACCCTAATCTCCAGACTGGGAAGGAGAATAGCCAGCTAATATGGCAGAAGATCCACAAGAATAATAGGAATGCATGCACCCATGGGATAAAGAGATCAAATCATGTGTATGTGCAGAAAGATGTTAGACTGCCAGAAGAGATTTTGCTTCTGAAGCATAATCCATGTCCAAGTGATGAATTGCTACAGCCTTCTGTATATTCTTCAGCTGGACATAATGGTGATACTCATAGAGTCAAGAATTTCGCTCAAAATGCACAAGGAATGTATGGTGGAACGCATGGTAATGTTCTTGTTGGATCTTCTCAATGTGTTGCAAAGCAGAGAATTCAAGGTGATCTGAGTCAACATGTCTCATTGTCATGGCAGGCAGATACATTGGGAAACAAGGAGTCTGCTAGGTTGAAAGAAAAGATGAACCAGTCCTTTAAAAATGAGAATGCCAACAACAGCAAGAAGGGACCAAGGGGTCATAAAGAAAGTAGGCTTAGAAGTAAGACTGTTTTTTGCCGGAAGGAGGCACTAGAAGTTCAAGGGAAGTTGCATCATTATAATAAGAGTGCTGCTTCAAAGAGAAGTATCCACAATAACCAGTGTTATGGAATCAACAAGTTAGCCTCTATGCATCCATATCCTGCTTCTGCTTATGTAGAGGTAAATGTGCCTTGCACAATGATATCTGGTGCATCAGAGCGAGCTCTGCTGGATGGGGTCCACCCATGTGCCAGTGTGAGGATTCCAGGTATGGGAAATGTTTTTGTTGGAACTGATCCTGCTTCCTCAAATAGAGAAGAAGCTAACTCTGCATGTGTAGAAAATGAGCTTTCTTGTGAAGATGGTATCAAACATGACATTATTTCTCGAGTGAGTTTACAGAAGTGGATTCCTGTTGGTAGAAAGGATTCCGGGACACTAAATATTGGGCCTTTTAGTGCTTCTGAGGATCTTAAGGTGACACAAAGTGTATGCCAGGAGAATGCAAATATACATCCAGAAGAGTATAACATTTCTCCATATGAGCCTGTTTCTCCACTTGGTCCTAGCAAAACATGTTTAGCATCCAGTCATGAAACAACAAAATTGATGGCAACTGAAGATGAAACACCACCAATTGAAAACCTATCTAAGAATATGAATGAAAAGCACGGAGAGGAAGGTTCTAAGGATTGTGTTACACCTAATACTAAACCAAAGGACAGCACTCCATTATACATTTCAGAGATGGCAGTAGAAGCACTTAATGATGCATACAGATTACAAATGGCATCTGAAAATTTTGAGTTTGCAACAGGGAGTCCCCTTGCTGAGTTTGAGAGACTTCTCTACTCTGCTACACCCGTTATAGCTTCTTCATTTGCGCCACAACATTGTGATGTTTGCTCGATGAACCAGCTCTCTGGAAGCTCTCTCTGCAAACATCAGATACCAAATATTCCACTAGGTGCTGTTTGGAGTTGGTATGAGAAGCCAGGAAATTATGGACTGGAAGTAAAGGCGGAAGATTCCCAAAAGCAAAAGGGATCGGATAGTGATACAGTCTTATTTCATGCTCATTTTGTTCCTTTTCTCTCAGCCATTCAATTATTTGGCCACCTGAATCTCTCCACAAGTAGTAGGGGTTGCAGTACAGCACACCTCACCTCTGATATCTCATGCAGTGGGCAAGCTCAAAGTAATCCATCCCTTTCCAAGATGGATACAGATTTACCTTGTCAAGAAGCAGTTAATCCTTATTCTTTTTGTTTAGAGGAAACAATAATTTCCAAACTTCTAAACCCATTAGACGATTCCGAAGATTCATACTTTTCTCAGTCTGGTGGAAGTGACACTTCAGGCTCTTCTGAACCTGCCGACACCAATAATATAGAACTGATATTTGAGTTTTTTGAGTATGAGCAGCCACAACAGCGAAAATCCCTATATGATAAGTAATTACCCTTTACTTTCTGTCACTTTCTTTTCTATTTCTGAGTTACACATCTTAGTTCTTTATCCTGAAGGAAGCTGACAGGTTGCTTAATACTGATTCAGTTAATTAGTATTGAGTGGTGTGGTACTGGAGACTGTTTATTCTTCCTATGTAATAAAGTGGTTGTCCAATATGGGAAGTCATCTGTTTGCAGACGTTTTATAATAACATAGAAGTATATAACTGACCTGGACACTTCTGACAAGAGAGAGCATGATTTATAATCATAATAGTCTATTATTATTGGCTTCCTAGTTATATTTGCTGAAGATGATCTCCTTTCTTCAGTTGTATCTCTTAAACCATTACCTGAATGGTGTGTACTGTGAGCAGTTTGCACTCTTAAGACTTCTTTGTCCTTCCAGTCTGTGTATCTATTTTTTTTTTAAGGAAAGGTAAAGTATAGTATGTTGTATTGATATCAAAAGTCTTGTCCTCTGTACAATGAGAAGCTGTACATGACATCCAATTAGGGACCCCCAAAAATATCCATCCTCAAAAAAGTAGAAGAAAAAGTATCATTTCTAAATACATTATGGACAGACAGCCCTTTAAAAACCCTATTGCTGCATTAATCACCACTGCTTCTGAAGCTGACTTTTGCTAAATGATCTTAAAGTAAAGAAATATGTTTTAGTTTGTCAGAGAAATGTTACCGCATCTTAATGAGGTTTGGCTATCTTTATCTTTTCTCATCTTGGGTTTTCTACTTATTGGAGGGAGGGATTCTCCATTTTCACTAAAGAGTAAGGGGGAAGACATTAAAAAGTCATATATTAAGAGAAGAGTTTTTCTTATATTGCACTTTTATCCAGGCGATGGGGAAAAGTATCTCTTTCAGAAAAGAGTTTCTTATATTGTAATTTGGGTTACTTCCTGAGGAGGCATCACTGACAAAACATATTCCAAGGGGTGGTAAAAGGTTTAGAGCTTGATTGTCTTTGTTCAATATTTCAACCATTTGCACTTGATTTAATTTAGGAGAGAATAACTAATAGACAAAAATTGAATTGGCCAGGGAGAGACAGGCAGAGAAGCTTGTAGTTAGAGCCTTAGAGGTGCACAGTTTTCTGTCTGAAGGACTTGATAAGGAGTCCTAGGGGCCATTACCCAATGTTTGTGCTGGTTATCTGGGGTTTGGGAGGGGTGGACGGGATATGGACCTAACCTTCAGCATTTTCTTGCACAAAGCAGCCAAACTTAAATTCTATGATGCATTTCGTGCTTGTCAGCCTGAGATTTTTCTGCTACACCAAGCAATGGCTCCTTTTGGTGAGGAGTCCTGCTACACCAAATAGAGGTTTTCTACTTGTGAGACTGTAGAACTAAAGTAATATGAAAGCTATATTTTGCTGAAAGAGGGAAAAATGGTATGGTGGTGGCATAGCTCTCTGAGATAAATGTTAGATCCTTTATCAAAATGCTTGACAGTTCTGTTTACTTAAATATTGTCTAGTATTATCCATCTTGAACTCTTCTTAGGCAGCGATGACAGAGTAAGATTGAAGATTCATGGCACCAATACCAAAGATTAGTTTCTTTATTCATTTTTGGTGGGGAGTTCAGTAGGCACTTAATTAGAAGCTGAGATCAGGTTTTAAACCCAGGCTAGTAGGGGTGAGCAAAAAATACCAAAAAACCAAACTGAAAAATTGGTTAACCGAACCGGTCGGTTTGGTGTTTTTAAAAACTGAAGGTACCGGTTCGGTTTCGGTTAACCAATATAGAAAACCGGCGGTTAACCGAACCGACCATTATATATATATTTCTATATATTTTATATATATTATAAATTAATAAATATGCATTATATATAAAAAATATATATATATATATATTTATAATATATAATATTATTTATTATTTAAAAGATAATATTATATATTTATAATTTTTATTATGTATTTTTATAATATATTGTAAAAATTAAAAAACCGAAAAACTGACAAACCGATGTTACCGATTTTCCAAAAACCGGTAGTACCGGTTCGGTTCCAAAATATGCCCCATGGTTCGGTTAACCAAAACGTGAGCACCCCTACAGGCTAGTAGTACACAAGTTTACCAAAGAAGCTAGATGGCTATTTAGGATAGGCTTCGACAATGATGATAATGATGCCAATATTTCAGTCTTCCATTGTTTCTGTAGAAATTGCGTATTGTGAACTCTAAGCATTTGATAATCTGTACTGCAGAATAATGGAACTAATCAAAGCTGGTACTTCCAATAATAAAGTGTTTGGTGATCCATCCAAACTAGAATGCATGAACCTGCAAGATTTACATCCTGCATCATGGTAAGAGAGTGGTACATTGTTGTTAGGCATGTGACATATTTGGAATACATTCCATTATATCGACAAAACCTGGATTTCTTGATTTTCAGGTATTCTGTTGCTTGGTATCCAATATACCGAATACCAGCAGGGAACTTCCGTGCATCGTTCCTCACTTACCACTCCCTAGGGCATCTGGTTCAAAGATGCAGCTCAAAAGATTCTCTTGATGATAAGACGTTTTGTGTTGCCTCTCCTGTTCTGGGATTGCAGAGCTACAATGCACAGGTAACTATCGGAAGTGTCAACATCCATGCTGAAATCATTAAATTATCATCCTTTGGACTTTGAAATTTTAAATGATCAGGTAAAACCCAACCTATGTACTTAAATTGTAGTTGTCTACGTCAGCTTATTCTAAAAAGGGCAGCCCAGTGCATGAGGCTCCCGCCGATGCAGGGTCTACATCAGCTTATTCTCTCATATTGTTTGTCAACCCCTTGGGATTTTGTGGTTTTTTGTAATTAAAAAAATCAAACATAGCACTATTTAAACTCACTCGCAACCAATTCAGTTTCATTTTTATTAGGAAACTGAATCACTCCCCTATAGAACATGGGGCATCTTTAAGCACCAGCCCATGTATTACACATGTCTCTCCTAGCTAACAGTATAAAGGAGAATGATGGACATGAATTGATTTCAACTTCTGTTCTTTTTCTAAATTGTGATCATGTGATGTAGTAGGTGAAAAGAATTGCTTTAGATATTAATGAAACTTAAAAAGATAACATGGAATCATGAATAACTATAAGAGCATGTATACATATGCTTTAACATTTCAAAAATCTATTGAAATGTCAACCAAGAACATAGTCCCCATAATAAACCAATAGAAGTGGCAAATACTTGATTTATTCTGCTTATTACACCTTGTGGTAAATGTCATTGGCATATAGTGTACATGAAAGGCTAGGCCTATGGAGAGACGGGATCTCCTGTAAGCAAAAACTCTGCAATCACTCCGAAAGCAGGGGCATCCAGTTGTATATTTGGAATATCTTCCCATGAATTTAACGTACATGTATGGGAGATATTCTCAATGTGCAGCTGGATGCCGTGTGCATAGAGTTTTTGCTTTCAGGATATCCTGGCTTGCTTTCAGGAGATATTCTCAATGGAAAATACTTGCTTTCAGGATATCCTAGCAAGGTTCAAAATTTCGATACGTATTGTATTGAGGGCTTCCCTATACGCCCCTATAAGGGGTGTTTCGGGGTTTAACTTGGTTCAGGGGATAGACAGGTCTTAAACTGACTCCTTTGAACCATGTTAAGAAAAACTAAAAAAAATGAGAAATCAGCTTCGATTGCTTTACACACGTCTCTCCTAGGAGAGACATGTATTACACATGCCTCTCCTAGCTAACAGTATAAAGGAGAATGATGGACATGAATTGATTTCAACTTCTGTTCTTTTTCTAAATTGTGATCATGTGATGTAGTAGTAGGTGAAAAGAATTGCTTTAGATATTAATGGAATTTTAAAAGATAAGGTGAAAAGAATTGCTTTAGATATAATGGAACTTAAAAAGATTAGGTGAAAATAATTGCTTTAGATATTAATGAAACTTAAAAAGATGACATGGAATCATGAATAACTATAAGAGCATGTATACATATGCTTTAACATTTCAAAAATCTATTGGAATGTCAACCAAGAACATAGACCCCATAATAAACCAATAGAAGTGGCAAATACTTGATTTGTTCTGCTTATTGCACCTTGTGGTAAATGTCATTGGCATATAGTGTACATGAAAGGCTAGGCTTATGGAGAGACGGGATCTCCTGTAAGCAAAAACTCTGCAATCACTCCGAAAGCATGGGCATCCGGTTGTACGTTTGGAATATCTTCCCATGAATTTAACGTACATGTATGGGAGATATTCTCAATGTGCAGTTGGATGCCGTGTGCATAGAGTTTTTGCTTTCAGGATATCCTGGCTTGCTTTCAGGAGATATTCTCAATGGCAAATACTTGCTTTCAGGATATCCTAGCAAGGTTCGAAATTTCAATACGTATCGTATTGAGGGCTTCCCTATACGCCCCTATAAGGGGTGTTTTGGGGTTTAACCCGGTTCAGGGGATAGACAGGTCTTAAACTGACTCCTTTGAACCAAGTTAAAAAAAACTAAAAAAAAGGAGAAATCAGCTTCGATATAGGCCGATACGCCCCTATCGGCGTATTGGCTGTATCGATATTTTGAACCTTGGCAGCTAGTTATCCGCATGAAAATGAAAGCACTATTTTGCTAAAAGCACGAAGTATAAAAAGCTGACTTCGTGCTTTTAGGGTTTTTCATACTTTTAAAAGTATGAAAGAAAAAAGTATAAAGTATAATTACAAACACTATATTGTGTTTTTCGTACTTTTGTACTTTCAAAAGTATGAAAATACTTTATAAAAGTCTATCCAAACAAGGTCGAATTTACAATTGTGAGGAGTTTTGTGAATCCTACATGAAGTTCGATGCATGATAGTCATACTATGCACTGGGATATTTTTTGAGGAAAAAAATTACTTTCATTGCAAAAAGAAGAGGGACAAGTTTAAATATTAAAAAATATTATTTTATTGATAAAAACATTAAAAAATTAATATTTAAATAAATAAAAAACAGTGGAGAAGGAGCATTGCCGGGCTTGTGCTAGAATTAAAATTAAAAAATATTAAAAAAATAAAATTACAAAGTTATTATTTTAAAATATAAAAATTAAAAAGAAAGAAAAGTATGTAGAAGAGATGTATTGTATCAAAATAGTGTGGAAATGTTGTGGATCGGCCACATCCATGAGATATATGTGGCCAAGATTTTGGATTGTGGACGTGGACAGTCCACGATATAGTGTGGACTGGTCCCGTCCACGACCAACTGAACGGGGAGTTCATCCCATGGCATGGACCGAAATGGTCCATCCATGAGATGAACACGTTACCGAATGACACCTTCATCTCTGAATTGCACTTTTAGATGGATCCCTAGAGAGCTGGGGTGGGATTCATTGTATAGTGATAATCTATGCCTTTATAAATGTTAGAGGGGTTCTTTTTGGCTTTTTGGGACGAGTTGGTTTTGATTGTATACATCTTCTCATGTACTATTGTTTACTATCGTTTTTATTATAAATGTTATAATTTTTTTTTTGGTTTTAATTGTATAAATGCTATATATATATATTTATATTTTAATTATTTTACTATTGTTTCTAGTAAAATTAATATTATTAGTTAATATTAATTTATCAATGCTTTTTTCAATATATTTATCATATAAAATGCAAAAATTAGACATTTATGATCGACTGTGTAGGTCATTCATAAAATGTATATGAGATACATTGAATCAAAAAGTATGGTGTGGACTGGTCCACACCACGCCTACAGAACGACACTGTGGGTGTGGACTGGTCCAGTCCGCATAGTTTGTCCACAATTCAGAACAGCTGTGGGTTGTGGTGTGGTGTGGTGTGGTGTGGACCAATCCACACCTTGTGGACTTGTACTGGGGTAGATGTAAGGTTTTAGGGTTTGATCTTTGAATGGTGCTTGCAAATGAAAGGCTGGACTTATACCAGGATAGCAAAGATAAATAGGGTTGTAAGCAATGTAGCTGAATATGAGGATTGTTAGTTAGGGTTTAGTTGGGTGGGTTTGTGGGCATGGGTAAGAAACTAAGGTACAAACTGTTGGCATGGGTGGTGGCTTAGGCATTTAATTGTTGTATACCAAGTCCAAGGTACAAACTTAAGAGCTTGTCCTAATAAACCTGAGTTGGTAGACTAAGAAACTAAGTCAGAAAAAAATACATACCTAATGCCTTACCACTTACATGGAAGTCTATGTGCAAAGGTTCATTAATATGTAGTTTGTACAATTTCAAAGAGGATGCAGTTTCCCTACCAACTTGAGAATTATATCTTCTAAATAGAAGTTATTATCATAAAATTCAACAAAGACTATCCTATTCTTATTACCCGAGTCCTTGTCTTCTGTGGCCTACCCTTGCTCTTTTAGAGCCTTCTACTTGGACCAAGTTACTCCTCACTAGCATAGTTGTTGGGTGTTTATGGACATGTACAAAACTATCTCAACCAACTTTCCCTAATTGTATCACCTATTGAGGCTACTCCTAAGCCAGTCATAATGCACTTGTTTCTAGTTCTATCTTTCCTAGTCTTGCCATTCATCCGTGTTAGTATCCTCATCTCTGCCATGCTATTACAACAGCCATGGGGAAGAAAAAGGACATGATGCTATTCATTCCTTTTAATAAAGTGAGTGGGGGTATTTATAGAATATGGGATGACAGCCATTAAAGCTATTGCTCTTGTCCCCAATCTCTAACTAATGTTGTAAATGGAATTATTGTAGTTTCCCTGGACAACAATGGGATGCTATCCTAAAGCATGAAATAGAATTAGAAGTATTTTCTTTAGAAATTCTGTACCTGTGTGCTACAAATAAGATAGCTAGTTTGCTCCTACGATCTAATCATTTCTAAATCATTTATCACTGGTTTATTTTATAGTTGTGCAATAGAATTTATAACCACACAAATCATAGGTATTAGTGAAATAGGTTGTCTTCTGGTGTTTGGGTATGTTATTTTTTAGAAGGTTATAAGCAGTGCTTCTCCAAATAAGCTAGGACAAAGAATTGTAGGAACTATACGAGATTTCCTCACTTGTCCACTTACAAAGAGGAAAGGATACTTGTGTTAGGGACATTATTAATGTTGAGAAGACATTTTGGCACCTCTGCCATGCATCTGTACTGTATCAGGTGTTACATGCCTCTTCCAAATGTGTTCTAAGAAGTAGATATTTTAAGAACCAACCTCGTTAGATTTTCGCTTGAACCTGATTTATAATTTTTTCTCCCCTTATCCCCTTTGTACACTTTCTTTATTATTATAATAAATCAGTTACTGTTATTCATAAAAAAAAATTATTTCTTCCATTTGTTTGTCATAAACATTAAGACTATACAAAAGAATATGATGAGTCAACCTGCCAGTCATCCTATTGGGGGCAATTTCATGATGAGCTCTCCTGGCCCTAATTTCCTAGGTGCATGTTGCACAAGGACTTCCCAACAGAGTAACCATGCTTGCACTCTGTAAATTTTTTTTGACCAAAACCAAAACTTTATTCATAGATAATATCTTGCATCTCATTGATAAAAAAAAAAAAAGATAATATCTTGCATCTTCTTACATGCTTCCACTCCGTAAATATTATATATACCCAGAGCCAACCATCAAATGGCCAATGAACTGGCTACATCTGCATGCTTTGGTCAAAAGGACATTGATGTATCCTGTATCCTGCAGTATGCTGTATCATTCTAAAGTTGGTTTCATGTTCTTTTTTTAATTTAATTAATACCATAACTTACTTTCACTAAAGGTTGGGGTGTGTTTTAAAAGCGCAAGGTGCAAAAAAAGTGCAAGGGGCAATTTGCGCCTGAGGCGCAAGGCGAGGCATGTGCCTTTTCAAAGCAAGGTGCAAAAATACAAAAAAATATTAAAAATGAAAAAAACATTAAGCATAACATTAATAAAAAATATAAACTTAAATTTTAAAGTAAATGTTTTAAGAAACCTATTAACTAAAATTAAAATACATAAACATAACATATAAAGCGTATTCAAATTAAAATTTAAAAATAAAATCAAACATATAAAACATTTTCAAGCATGTAAAACGCCCAGTCTCTCTCTCTCTCTTTTTCAATTGCATTACTTAAAATAGTTAATATGATGTAAAACATTAGCTTTACATCTGAGCTGAAGCGCAAGGTGCATAAGACGCTCACCTTTTGAAAGTGCTACACTTGGGGCCTAGGTGGGGTCCATACCTTAAAATGCACTCGCCTGAGTGCCTAGGCACACCTTTTAAATCACTGAGGTTGGGTACCTCTAAATAAGTTTGCTGCCTTTTCTCTTGTTTTGGTATCTTCAACCAAAGGATTTTGTTGGAAGCTGGCCTCCACAAAATGTTGGTCCATGTTCTGTAGGCTACAAAGCTTTTGTGATCTTTCTTTGTTTTTGCATCTAGGCGCAGGTAAAATACTAACACACCTCACTTTTCATTTTACCTGCAGGGGGAGTGCTGGTTCTACCCCAAAAAGCATGTTGAATCTTCTTTCAAAGAATTTATGCCTTTCAACGGTTCTGAAATCCTCAAAGAACGACTGAGAACCCTAGAGAAAACTGCATTCCTATTTGCTAGAGGTTGTGTCTTTAAGGATAATGTTGAAGTTACCAACCGGCAGCCAGATTATGAGTTCTTTCTATCTCGGAAACGGTAATATCTCTATCCCAAGTGAAAGTACTCGATCTCTCTTCACAGCTTCCAGATATATGGAAGATATTCCCAAATTTGGCCCCTTACACTGTAAATATGTACAGAGCAAAACCCATGAAACAGGAAGTAGTTTGTAGGAATAGGCAAAACCCAGTTCAGTTCTCTAATTCGTGTCCGTGGGACTGCTAACACCATCAGGAAGCAGTTGATTTATAGATCGTAGCAAATGTAATCTGATAATATACTCATCAAGCGTAGATACATTTTTCTCATTACAACTTAATTGTAACATCTCTGTAAGTTGTTTGTGTGTATACTGTAGTTTCCAACTTAGTATAATTCACTGTTCTGGCCACGTGAAGCTCCCACGGACATGTATTTGAACGGTATGATTAGTGTGGAGGATGCTGACTGATCGTTATAGAATATATAGGTTATCATGGTTTTTGAACCACTGTTGACCTGGACGGTCAGACCGTTTGGCTCGGGAACTGTTCAGGTAATCAGTTCCATTTTACCCCAAATCTGGTCTCTGGCTAAAAATCGTTAAATCAGTTAAACGATCCATTAATTCGGGTGATTGAACCGTCGATCTGTTCAATGGTTTTGATTGTTTTTATTTTTAATTATTTTTTAATTTTTTGTTAGAATGGGCCATCTGTTCGAACCGGATGATCGAACTGAAAACTGATGGCCAAAAAAGTTGTTTCCGGGTTGTTTTTTAAAACCATGTGTATATTATAGTTTATCACTATTCATTAATGGTTAATGCCATTCAATATCTCACAATGTATTATTGTCAGTGCTTTTGCTCTTCCCGATCATAGAATATAAACAATCGTTGGCTTAATTCAATTCTATTGGTATAATACCATCAACTTTCATCAGGAATTCCAATTTATTGGCTGGCCAAGATTAGTTTGATAAATGTTATGAGGACCCAGCCCGAACCACTAATCCTGCGGAGTAGCAGATAGGACTTGGTCTCGCGAAGCTGCCTAGTGTCAAGTTTAAATGAATGCATCTCGATCGAGTTTACAAGAAATTCGTAGACCCGGACCGTAACCTGGTCAGATTCGGATCCCATATAGCCAATAGTGAAATAAAATTTCAGAATATCTCTCGTTAAAAAGGTTCAGTGAATTGGTTGCAGGGTGGGGACGGAAATACCAAGGTTTTCCACTCACTAGCAAAGGGAAGGATAGTTAGAAACAGAATTTTGTAGTAAAGGGAAGGATAGTTGGAAACAGAATTTTGTGTCTTACAAGTGCCAATGGGGATTGGTTGGATTTTGAGGAGGTATCGACAGAATTAGAAGGCTACTTCAAAATCATTTTTCAAATCTCTCACCCAAGAATCCACGATGATTTGCTAAGCTGTGTACATCAAAATTCGATGATATGGACAGAGAACAGTTAGAAAAAGAGATAACTGAGGAAGAGATAAAGGAAGCCTTTTTTCAAATGGCCCCAAGAAGGGCACCAGGGCCAGATGCATACCCAAATTTGTTTTATCAAAGGTATTGGAGAGAAGTTGGTATCAAGGTTCAAAATAATGATACGCCCGATACGCCAGTATGGGCGTATCGGGCGAATCGATACTGTTTGTTTTAGTTTTTTTTTTTTTTTTTTTTTGAAACCGGTTCAGGGGGGCCAGTTTAGGTCTCCTTCACCCCCTGAATCAGTCAGACCCCCGATACACCCACTATAGGGGTGTATCGAAGGGGTCCTAGAACGATACGTATCGGCCGATACGGGCCGATACTTTGAACCTTGGTTGGTACTGATGTGGTTAGGGGCAGCCAAGCACATTTTTTTGCTATTGGTAAAATGCTCAAAGAATTTAATGAAACCCACATTGCTTTAATCCCTAAAATAAAGAACTTAGGAAGAAACTCCCAATATAAATCAATTAGTTTTGAAGTTGGTTAGTGAGAAATAGAGTGTTTTCATATTCAAGATAATTTTTGTAGCTCATGAAATCATTGATTTTATGAGGAAATCTAAAGGTAAAGTTCCATGGATTATGGATGGCCCTCAAGTTAGATATGAGCAAGGCTTATGATAGGGTAGAATGGGCTTTTCTAGAGAGGGTTCTTTTGAAGCTAGGGGCTGGTGCTAAGTGGGTTAATTGGGTTTTATAGTGTGTAATCACAGTTTCTTATAGAGTGTTGATAAATAGATGTCCAAGTAACAAATTCCACCTGAAAAGGGGTTTAAGGCAAGGAGACCCACATCCCCTTACCTGTTTTTGTTTTGTTCAGAAGTCTTGTCTGCTAAATTTATAGATTTGGTGACTCAAAATCAGATAACTGGCATTTCAATCAGTAGGAACTGTCCAACTGTCTTCCATTTATTTTTTGTAGATGACTTATATTTTCAGACCTTAGGGAGGGGCAGACTCTTCTGGATACTCTCAAGCTTTATGAAGAAGCTTCTGATCAACAGGTAAATTTCTCAAAATCTGAGTTTTTTTTTTTTTCCTAAGATCCAACGAATTCTGGCCAGATATCTTAAAATGAAAAAAAAGTGGCTACTCGCTCTATATATTTGGGGCTGCCTACAAGTATTGATAGATGCAAAAAAACCTTATTTAATTTCCTAATTGAAAGAGTAGGAAAAATGTTGTCTAAGTGGCATGAATATTTACTCTCTCTAGTAGGAAAAGAAATTCTGTTAAAAGGCAGTGGTTTGTGCTATTCCAAATTATACCATGTCCTATTTTTTGCTTTCTAAGGATGTTTGTAATAAATTGAGGAGGATACAAACCAAGTTTTGGTGGGGGAGCACAAAAGATGCCAGAAAGACTCATTGGGTGAGTTGGGAAGCTCTTACTAAAAACAAATTGGCAGGGGGTTTGGGATTTCGAGATCTTTACAAATTTAACTTATCCTTACTAGTAAAGCAGGCTTGGAGGATTTTCATATATGAGGAAAACCTTTGGGTCAAATTAATTAAGGCCAACCGTAGGAGAAAAGATTTCTTAACTTCAAATCTCCATAATCAAGGATCTTGGGAGTGGTAAAGCTTCCTAACTGCAAGAGAAGTACTCCAAAGAGGTTATTGTTGGGCTGTAAATTCTGGGACCAAAGTCAAAATTTAGGAGGATCCTTGGCTCCAACAGATTCAGTCTTTTAGAATAATGGGTCCTAGGCCAAATAATCCAGCACTCAAATGGGTGAAGAATCTCATGATTGAAGGGGATAGACGGTGAAATATCAGTTTAATTGAAGAGAACTTTGGGGTTCCTATAGCGAGAAACATTTTAAGTATAAACTTAACTTTGGGAACCTGGGAAACAAACTTAGATGGACCCTTCACCCAAGTGGACGTTATACTATTAAATCAGGATATTTTGCAATAAATGGCAATAGCATTAATAATGATGCAACCATGTTGGGTCTGAGAAAATCTCAATCGTCTGATATTTGGAAAGCAAAAATAGACCCAAAAGTTAAAAATTTAATGTGGAAATGTTTAAATGCTATTGTAGTCAAAGAAAACCTTTATAAAATAAAGCTTACCACAGATGATATTTGCTCAATTTGTCATCGGGAGATTGAATCGCTAATGCATTGTTTTTTTTGAGTGTGATTATCCACAAGTAGTGTGGTTTGGCTGTCATCTCAGTGCTAAGGTTATTAGAGGAACCCACGTTTCTTCTTTCAAGCAATGGATTTCAACATGGCTAGACTTCAGTGTGCAAGAGAAAGATAAAAAGGATCAGTTGATTGTTTTTTCGTTTATAATTCTATGGAATATTTGGAAATGTAAAAACCTAAAAATTTCTGAAAATATTGATCCGAATCCAAGATCTACTCTTGTTGTGACTTACAGGATGTGGAAGGAGAGAATGAAGATTTTCCAAGCAGAATTGCAAAGCTCTTCTCAACCGTCTCAAAATCCTAGAATGCCATTTGCATCTTTTTGGGTAGCTCTAGAGCCAGGTCAGCTAAAAGTAAGCGTGGATCTAAATTTTTTGAGCCCTAGTTGCTCGGGGTACGGTATTGTGTTGAGAGACTCTACAGGAAATGTAGTAGCTACATCTTTTGGTAAAACTAAAGCTTCCTCTCCCATCCAATCAGAAGCTATGGCTTTGCTCACTGGTATGAAGATTCTGAAAGATTTTGACAAAGTACATATAAAGGTGGAATTGGATTGTCTTCCTCTACTTCAAGCACTGAACTCTAAGAACTTTGACTTGGCCTTAGATGCTTTGTTTTTTAGCAAGGATATTGATGTTGTTGCTGCTAGTCTTTCTATTTTTTTAGTATTTGTAAACAGACTTTATAACAGGATTGCCCAGCTAAACAAGGTCTAAAAGAGTCTGGATTGTTTGCCAATATACCACCCAAGTGGATCTAAGAATTGGCCAACCAAGACTTGAATAAACCTTAGGTTGATCTGTATCGTTTGATTTATTATATTTTACCGCCTTGCTGTTTTAAACAAAAAAACAATCTATATATCTTATATATAACCTAAAAGCAAGAGGGTGTATGGATGACCCCTATCAGTTCACGAAATGGAATATTTTCCTCACGAATTAGGTAATGGCATGAGTGAGTGTGCAAAATGATGTGCAAAGGAACGCCTCTGGCATATGCTCGGGCTCCCACGCGTGTGACGTCTTTCAAAGCTGACGCCATTGAATAATTACTGGTCTTGATTGCACTGCAGTGGATATCTTCGAGGGTTGGGATGTTGTCGCTAGGGCATTGATTGTTGAGGATGGTGGTGGTTTCCGGCATCAGTCTACTTATTGTTTTTTGTTTATTTTCTTTTCCCTCCTTTTTATGTGTTCTTGCTTTTTGTTTATTGCTTGTGCTATATTCCTGGTTTTTCGTTGTTTTCCGTATGCCTTGGAGGGTTCGGCGATGGCGGGCAGTGGCTCTAGTGGCGGTTTCTTCTTTGCTGTTTTGGGTGTTGGCTATAGTTGAGCAGAGGTTATTGGAGGTCTGGCGGTTTGCGTGTTTGATGACGGTTGGTCTCTGACCTTCTTTGGGAGTTGGGTGTTGGTGCGGTGGCACGTCTCTGGCCTTCTTTGGAGTTTGGTGGCGGGGGACAATGACTCTAGTGGCGGTATTTTCTTCGTTCGTTTCAATGGGGTACATCTCATTGAAACGAATTAATAACTTTTATCTAAAAATAGTTAAAAATCTAAAAATAATGCATTCACGGATTATACTTGATTTGGTTCAATCTAATTGTGGATGTCATGTTATTTTTAAAGGGTGCAATTTAGGGGTTAGATCAAGTACCAAAGCCTAACCTGAAGTCTTAAATATCGTGTTAGGACTTAGATTAATGTAATTATGACTACAACCTAATTTTATATATTTATTAGTATGTAAGTATTTTAAATATTTAAAAAAATTATAACATTTAATCATTAATAAAATAAAATAAATAAAATAGAATACTAAAGAAAAAGATAATTAATTTATTAAATAATTTATTATTTTTCTTAAAAATTATTAATATAATTAATCTAAATTACTAAATTATTTTTATAACAAATTACTAAAATAAAAATTAATTATTTTAAAAACACTGCATTGGTTTCTATTATTTCACTTTTCCTTGAGAAATCCCAGGTCCCCACTAGTAATTACATAAGACCAACGGCGTATCATACGAATCCGGATATCCTGCACATCCCATTCCACACATCTTCCTGTGCCATGTCAGCGTTACACGAGTTAAAATATTTATATGTGCAAGCAACTTAACGGATGTGGTAGAGACTTCTATTTTTTAATTTTTCCCTATTTTCAAATTTTAAAATATATCAAAAGAGAAAAAAGGGCACAACTGATATAAACATTTGTGGAAGATAAACACATCTTCCTCAAAGGTTTTCCATCGAATGCAAGCTTGAATTAGTAGTTTGCTAATAATTCAGTTACAAAAATCCACCATTGGTGAAAATTCATTCATTCGGGCGGGAAAAAATTGAAGGAAATATTTTTGATTTTTTCTTTCACAGAATGAGATCGAACAGGAAAGAAAAAGTAAGAAATCCAAAAATGGGAGGGATCTATAAAGAAGTTTCAAGATCAAAATCTCCAAAGGTTAAACCAGATAAGGCTTTGTTTGAAAAATACAGATGAAACAAATACCTTTGTTTGAAAAATGAATACCCTTTGTTTTCTTGACTCCTACCAACAACTCTTCCAAGATGAAGAGAGACGATAAACCAGATAAGCTTGAGATGCCATTAAGGCAATGGAGTGGAGTTAAATTTGCAGGAGAACGTGAGAGATACTCATGAAGCGATAAATGGGTTGGGTTTCTCAAGGAATTTTTCACAATTGGTACTCGCTCTGTTTTCTAGGCATGTTTCTCCACCTAAGATCAGAATAATTGAGATTTGAGAGGAAGGAAATGAAGCCTGGGCGTGAACGTTATCAATCGTTCGTTAAGTTGCTTGCACATACAAATCTTTCACTCATGTGACGCTGACATGGCAGAACCCAAGAGGTTGTGCAGGAAGATGTGTAGAATGAAATGTGCAGGAACAAATCTTTCATTTGTTCATGTTTTAGAATTATCTATGATGTGCCTCTTTATCACTGTTTAACCTTTTCCCTTTTTTTTCAATGCTTCATGATACAGTTTCTGGGTAGATTTTGCTATATGTTAATTATACTTCTGATATTCACTGTTCTAGGATATGATGTATCAATTTCTATTTATATTTACATGCCTTAAATTCTAGTACAGTAGCTAATTCATCTATTGATGTGATGATATACAAGCACCTTATCAAAAACATTTCATCTTCTTTAAGAAATTCCTCCCATATTGTTTAATGTAATAACTTATGCTATCAATCAACTGCCTTGGATCCGGATTGATGCTAGAAAACAAGAACAGAAAATACAGAATTTATTGGGAGTCAATAAACCCAACCAAACTCTTAAAGGTCCTTTCCCTAAAAATAGAAGTGAGCTGTTTACTCTGTTTCCTGGTTCTAAGAGCAGAGCGCTTTTTCAAATGTTCTGTTTGCTTTCTATGATTTCCTTGAGACGGTTCTTTTTGTGAGCGAATGCATACGTAATCGTATTTGGCAGGCTTCTTTTATTCTTTTTCTGTTACGTTTGTCTATTTATTTGTTTTCTTTTGTGCTTTTTCAAATGTTCTGCATACTAAATATTATTGCTTTGGATGGGGGTGGATCCATCATCCATGTTCAATTCAATTATTAATGGATGGAATTTAGATCATCCATCCTTAACTAGATCAGATTATTCAAATTTCAAAATCTAATTTGGATGTATAGATAGATAGATAGATACCTTTTGCAGCCCTACTAGTTTAGAGTCCATAAAATCCCAAGCAACCAAGCCCCAGATACCCTGCATGAGGCCCTTCATCCTAATTACAGATCTCAACTGCTTAATCTTTGGGATGAAAAACAATATTCAAATACATCAATGACAGTGACAACTAAGAAGCATATATCTTCCTTACAAAGCATGCAAGCAGGAGGTGTGAATGAAGACACACTTTATAATTTATGTAAAACTGCAGAATATGGTTTTATTAGCTGATGAATGGTAGAAGATTTTGACATCAATCCCCAAATCCCAACTTGATAAACTTCATGGTTGGGAACTTGTTGATGAAGTGCTCTTCGACTGTGTCTGTGAGGCAGACTTGGACATGCTACTCCGTGCCTGTTGACTGTGGTTGGAAGAAGACTCAGAGAAGAAAATGATGTGGTCACCATTCTCCACAAGAACCTGGAGAGATCTTGGGACTGGAGGTGGGTTTACCTCCAAAACCCCTTCAAATATCTGAACTACTTGGCCCATTGATGGCCTGTGAATTTCGTCATCTTGGATGCACCAACAAGCAACTCTACAAGCTCTAGTTAGTTCTTCCACATTGGCATTACCCTCTAGCCTGTAGTCCAATATACCAAGCACATCCTCACCTTTGTTTATTTGGCTTGCGGCCCAAGTTGGGAAGAATGAAACCTTCCCATCTTCCGATTGCTCAGAGTTTCTCCTTCCTGATATAATTTCAAAAAGCATCATGCCATAGCTATACACATCAGCTTTAGCTGTGATAGCCATACCCGAAATCCATTCTGGTGCAAGGTATCCTCTGGTACCTCTCATGGTTGTCAGAACCCGGCTGAAATCCCGCCCCACAAGCTTTGCCAAACCAAAATCTGCTACTTTTGCACAGAATTCGGCATCCAAAAGTATGTTCTCCGGTTTGATATCACAGTGTATGATGCAATCTCTGCACTTCTCATGAAGATAAGCCAATCCCCTGGCAATCCCAAGTGCAATCTGATATCTCGTCTTCCAGTCTATAATATTAGAATACTTATTTCCATGAAATAAATGAAAATCTAAAGAGCCCTTTGGCATGTAATCATACACAAGCAATCTTTTAGTTCCTTCAGAGCAGAAGCCCCGAAGGCGAACGAGATTAACATGCTGAATGGTCCCGATTGTACTAACCTCTGTCCGGAATTGTTTCTCTCCTTGTCTGAGGCCTTCAAGCTTCTTCACCGCTATGACAGTTGAATCAGTCAAAGTTCCTTTAAAAACAGAACCGAAAGCTCCTCCCCCCAATTTTTCTGAGAAGTTCTTGGTAGCAATCTGTAAGTCTCTGTAACCAAAAGGAATCAAAGAACCCTCAACTGCATCTGACAACCTAAGTGATCCCCCACTCTTCCTTGTCCATATTAGCACCAAAATAAAGCCAAAGAGGATTACAGACCCTGCAATGGCACCTATGATAGCGCCAGCAGGTGTTCCCTTCTTGCTACCAGAACTTGGAGTTGGAATATCAGATGCGGCAAGTTTGAGATAGAGATTAACTCCACTGTCATCACCTTCTGAGATTTCTTGCAGACTCAACAAGTCTCCCTCCAAAATGGAACACTGACCATTGGCATAGGCATATGCGTTGCAAGAACAGTTGTTCAAGCAAGCTGATCTACAGGCATCGGGACTCCCAGTTGCCAAATTTGAGGTGCCTGTGGGCAATTTCATATTGGGCATGATTAAGAACCCATCATTATTGTTACAGTTCAATGGGGTTCTCCTCCGGCAACCATCAGACCAGTCGCTGAGGTTCCAATCTCTTACAGAGCTTGGTTCATAACCAGGCAAGCATTCACAGAAGGGCATGGCTCGGTCGTTGCAGGTACTAAAAGTCCCACATAAGTTATAGACCTCACACTGCGTTCTAGGTTGACTCCAAAACAAGTTCCACTCGTTGGAGCCTTCGAGCCACGACAATTGCTTAACTTGCCCCGAAATATCCATGACAAATCTAGAAATAATAGAACTATTATAGACAGTATAGGTGAAGTAGCTCTCGTTCTCATTGTTGATGTAGCTGAAATTGTAGATATAATTCAATCTCATTTCAGGAACTAAGCTGAAAATTTGCCCATTCCAGGTCCCACTGGTCCAGTATCTTACAGACCCGTTCCACAGTATGAAGTATTGACTGGTTCCGGCTGGATCTAGCTCGAGAGAAAAAATACCCGGAGCAGGATCTTCCTTACTTCTCCATGAAGTAAGGCGCTGGGTTGTGTTGGTTTGTTTATTCCTTGCAAGCTTTCCACCAGGCAACCAAGTGTGAGTTGGGTGATCAAAGCTCTCCCACATGTAAACAGAGGAATTCGGACCATCCCTCAAAACAAGATTTCCATTGTCAAGAAGCACTGCCTCGATAGAATTCGAGGTTGTAGAGGTCAAATTTGTCGTCCAAACCTGGATGTTAGACTGGTCGAGCAGGACCAGATTACCATCCTCTAAGAGTTTAAGCTGTGAAGAATAAATGTCAGAGACGGGATTTTCTCTGTTTGCTACCCAAACTATCGTCTTGACCGAGATTTTTTTGTACCAGACGCCTATATAGTAGTTCTGAGTCGAATTACCTGGTTTGAAGAAGCCCAGTTCAAAGTTGCCTTGGGAAGAGACTATGGTCTGATTCCCGGAAAGAGACTCGCCTAAAGAAATGGTGTCAGCTCCATAGGAGAGATGGATCTCGAAAGAGAAGCAAAGAAGGAAAAGAGATAGCAAGAACCACAGGTTGTTTAGGGGAACCATGACTGCACGTACTCCTCTCTTAATTTCTTGTTTTCCTTTCAGGAGGTGAGATGAGAAGGGTAGGGAGTCTCCTATACCACAAGAGCATCTGGCTTATCTGTGCAGCACATATCCAGGAGGAAGCCCAGATATTTATAGGACTGATTCTGAAGAGGGGGAAGCGATGATGGCGAGAAAATAGAAGAAGAAGAAGAAGAGTCTCGTGTCCAAGGTCCAACTTTTGAAGTCTTGCGAGAAAACCAACCGCTAGATTTTTTGTCTTTTGTACCTTTAACCTGGTTGCTATGACTATAATACCCTCTTGGTATTGTTGTTCGGGTTGTGAATCGCAAACTTGGAAGAGTTCCATCGTCTGTCCCGACCAATCTAATTGGAACACGTCGCCTTTACCACCCCAATTTGAATTGACGGAAGAAAACCCTCTAACCGCGAGATGGACGCCAAAAATTATAAAAAACAATTAGGTGAAGTCAAATATCCTCTTCACTGCGAATTGCTCTCTTCCCTCCCTCCTATTCTCTTCCCCTCCCTCCCCTCCCTCCTTACTGCGAGCTGCTCTCTTTCCACTGCCATCTTTCCGTTGAAACCCTGCAACTTGAGTCGCATGTCATAGTTAAAGAAGACCCTGCAACCAAGCTCCACCGCCGCTGCCATCTTGCCGTTGAAACCCTGCAACTGAACTGCATGCCGTAGTTAAAGACGACTCTACAAACTGAGCTACACTGCCGCTGCCATCTTGCCGTCCAACAACCCTCAACCACTTCAGGTTTAATTTACACGCCCTATATTATTAGTTAGTTAGTTTTCCCTTTGTTTTTTATTTTTGGATTGAATGGAAGTATTGTGTTCATGGTCGCATACTATAGCAATCTATCGATTAGTATTGTAGTTATTAGTGAGTGCTTTTGGATTAGGAATTTCCATCTATTAAGTATATATATTAGTTATTTTGTTTTCCACACTCTATGGTGATTATCTTTATTCATAATGTGCTCTTGAATTGGCATGGCTGTCTACTGAACCGCTTGATCAGTGAGAAACTAAACCTGAAAAGTCGTATCAATACAAACTTAGAATCCCATCATGTGTTTCTAATGTATACTATTCTGTTAAGAAAATCAAAACAAAATGTTCATCATCTTTGTTCTTGGTTAAATCTGAATTGGATATTTACAAAAATGAGAACTACTGAACCTTAATTGTGCAGGCTTTCTTCCACAAGATGGAGCTCTTCCAAATTATTCATCACAGAATGACCGGAGTTTCATATGAATCTTTGGTGTGGTGTGGTGCAGTTCAACAAGATAGTTTATTTAACCATTTATTTTGGTTTGGTGTATATGGGGTGGACTTAGTTTTGTCTTCATCCTCTAGAGGTTTTATTCATACAGTTTATTTAGGTCTTATTTTGATTTGATTATATTGAAACAAGAAAATTGGATAATCAACAAAATCATTCAGTTCAAAACTTGGTTTTGACTTTCATTTGCCCATCATGAAACATGTTGCTTGCAGCACCCAGAGGAATGGACAATGAACATGTTGCTTGCAACACCCGAAGGAATGGACAATGAACATGATCTATTGCCTTGGATAATTGGATTGGTCAATTGCCTTGAGTATTTGAATACAGTAATTTTAGATCAGTTAGAAGCCTGATATGTTGGAAATTTGACGGATAGAAATTTTGGATCATTCAATCGTTCAATCAGCTTTTGGAGTATCCAATCGTTCAATCTTACTCAAGTAGTAGTAATTCAGCAACCCATTATATAGTAACAGTAGCAGGGAAAAAAAAATGGAGGAGTGAGGTAACTCCATCTTGTACGTTAAGGTCATATTTGGACAACCAAAGATCAAGGACTCTGAGCTTCTACGATGTTGCAATTGTTCAAAGTGAGAATAACCTCATACAAGGTAATTGTTCAAAGTGAGGATAACCTCATAAAAGGGAGTTGTTCAAAGTGAAGATAGCGCTCATGGTTTTTTGCTCAAAATGATGTGCTTCATCATCATCATCATGACCAAGATGCACCAGATAAATTAGAGCTGATGAAATTTGCAAAAGTTTTGAAGGAATCCAACAGTCCCAGTCATGAAAATAAAGTCTGAAAAAAGAGTGAAATAAGAAGAGAACACAGCCCGAACCAATCACAAATCTTTGTAACTGAATTATATAATGATGCAAGAAAAGAATGATTTCTCCAAATTCAAGTAACTGAACCATTAGTAGTTTTCAAAATAATGGTTAAGTTAATTGAATTTTTAAGATTTTGAAATAAACACTACAGCTCATGGCCTCATGTTCCAAATCTTGTAAAAAAAGTGGCTGCTTTTGTAGGCATTAACAATGGAGATTTAGTTAGGTAGTTTAAAAATTGAATCAATTGAGTTTCAAATCACAGATATACCAGTTCAAATTTCAACTTTAATATATTAGAAATAATGGAGTCCCCAAATCAGATTAACTGAAACATTCCATAATTAATCGAAATATGTCCACTTTGTAAGTCAAAATATAAAACTTAGTATAAAATATACCCAACTCTCTACCAACAAAAGAGCAACATAATAATTAAAACTAATAAAACAACTAATGCCACTAAATGCATGGTTAGAACGTTTCTAATATTGACCAATTCCAACTGTATCTCATATTTAAAAAGTGACTGCTCCATTATTATTTCATTTAATAAATCCCTTCGGAGCAAATCTACTGTTGGACCGTCATCTTGTAGTATTCATGAATTCTCAGCTTTTGGTACTTCTTTAAGATGTTGATCACACCATTTGAATAAGAAACAACCAGGATCTTCCTGCAAATACAAGTGACAATATAATTGTTAAACAATGTTAATAATATCTAATTATAATTTTGAATCTATATAGATTAAGGTGTAACTTACACATCTATAAAAAAGCCTGCCTGGATTCCTTGGGGTATTAGACTTAATATGGCACAATTCTTTGATGTATTTCACATTTCAATGGTGGCACACTATCAGGTCTATTTGTTGACGCACGAGAAACCATTTTACAGACATTTTAATCCTTTTTTACTTCAAAACTAACTAGATCTTTTAAAACAACCATACAAGTTTGACAGACATTTTTAAGAACAAATTGAGGGCACGCTGTGTAGTTGGTTAGATTCTGTCTCATCAAGTCTAGCCTATGGGATGTCTTAAATAGCAACTTACATATCAATTATCATAAGGTGTAACAAATGGCCCCTTCGGTGCTATTGCCAAATACTACCTAAGTGGCCAGAGTGAGGCTTGAAAGTCAGAGGTGAACTATAACAGTGTGAATCTAGTGCTGCAGACCGTCTCTGAATCTAGTGCCAAGCTTCTGAATGGCATGATGGAAGCGACGATGGAAATTGAACCTAAAGTGGTTCTTGTTGGGTTCTTGTTATTATGATTGATTCCTTTTCTTTGCAGAATCTATGAGTTGTGCATGTGTGGTACTGCTTCTTTGTTCTTAGGAATGAAACAATTGCCACAGTTTCCACATTTACAACAATGGTTTGGCCTTACAATTGCTGGTGCTATAGAGCTTGGGCATATAGTAGAATCCCCTGTTATAAGGACTGCCACATCAATTGTTCCTCTTGGATGGAGTGCTGTTCCTGGTGAAAAGAATGACCATATAGTAGAATCCCCTGATATAACTGGTTATGGATTACATTTGTGCACTCTGGTGCAGGTTCAAGTGAATGGTAACTGGTATTGCTTTTTCGTTATCACATGTTTTGTTTCCTTGTCATCACTTTTATGGCTCTAGAATTGTTTATGATCTTTTATCAGTAACAGAAATTTATTAATTATAAAATCTTTTACAAAGCATGCCCAAAAGGAAAAGAGAAAATGAAAGAAAAGAAAATAAAAATGAAAGAGGGGGTAGGAAACCTACCCAAGAAACAAAAAGGAAAAACAGGAAAAAAAGGAAAAAATGGCAAATTCCTCCTTAGACGTTCACAACCCAACAAGAACCAGCTACAGCTTAGAAAACCTTCCACTCAATCCAAAAAAAAAAAAAGGAAAAAATAACTAACTAATAATAGAGGGCGTGTAAATTGAACCTGAAGTGGTTGATGGTTGCAGGGTTGTGTTTCACTATGGGAACATGCTCAGTTGCAGCTCAACGGAAAGATTGGCAGCGGCGATGGAGCTCAGATTGCAGGGTCGTCTTTAACTACGGCATGCGGCTCGGTTGCAGGGTTTCAACGGCAAGATGGCAGTGGCGGTGGAGCTTGGTTGCAGGGTCGTCTTTAACTATGGCATGCGACTCAGTTGCAGGGTTTCAACGGCAAGATGGCAGCGGCGGTGGGGATCGGGTCACAGGGTCGTCGTCTTTTTCTTTGAAACCCAGCTCAGTTGACAAGTTTCAACGGGAAGACAGTAGATGGTTGCAGGGTTTTTACGGCAAGATGGCAGTGGAAAGAGAGCAGCTCGCACTAGGGAGGAGAAGAGAATAGGAGGGAGGGAAAGGGAGAAACTCGCAGTGGAGAGGATATTTGGCTTTACCCAATTGTTTTTCATAACTTTTGGCGTCTATCTCGCCGTTAGAGGATTTTCTTCCGTCAATTCAAATTGGGGTGGTAAAGGCGACGTGTCCCAATTAGATTGGTCAGGACAGAAAAATTTTCTGTCCTAGGTGACAGACGATGCGAAATCAACTTGGAAGGATTTTGACATTTTGTAGGGTGCCGCTGCATGCATTGTAGTTGTAGAATGATCTATGAAATCTGAGGCACATATTTGATTTTTAGAATCTGCTTATCCGTGAATCATTGACTGAAATCTCTTGAATGGGCGTTTTTGTAATTTTGTCATTTACTATACTGGTAGAGCAAATGTTCGGTTTTAAAGAAAAGGTACGGATTTCTTACCTTTCTCTTCTTTCCCTTACATCTTTCTTTGGAACCAAATACAGCCTTAAACAATTTTAATTTAATTCTGGGTCTTCTGTCCTCATAAAATATTAAATCAAATTAGTCCACGAAAATCCAACGTCAGGGTAAGTTGCTTAAACCTTTTCTCAGTAAAATTCAAATTATATAATTAATATAATTATATTTAATATTTATAAATATAAATTTTAATAATTATATTTTTTATAGTTTTTTTTGTACCTATGAGATTTATTGGATATAATATAAAATTAATTAAAGAACTTAATGAAGATATTAAGAGTAGAGAGAATTAATGGAGTGATAGACAATAACCATATTAGCGCTCATACGGTGCGTGAGGTACAGGTGGAATGGAAAACGGTTTGGGCAATTCCACATCTGCCATGGTATCCTACAAACGAGTTCAACAAATCCTTCCCTCATCTATGTTTTTCTTTCTTATTTTCAATAGAATAAAACATAGCCAAATTTCGTGGTTCGACTGTCTCGTGCAATTAGAATTTACCTAGCGGACTTTATTAAAAGTTTTGGGCATGGGTCAAGTTGAACGTAGACCCATCCCAAACCACTTGACCAAAAGTTGAAAATTTCTGTCTAGAAAACCAAATAAAACAAAACAAAAACAATTGACTTCTCCTATATAACGCTTTAAACTTAGAATACAACTACCACCCATCAATAAATATTTGTGACATCTTAAATCAAGATTTTAATCAATCACGTTAAATATATTATATGATCTAATTAGTTTTCATTGATTTTGCCTCACTGTACATGCACCATAGATTTTGCCTTAAACTTGACATACAAATTAGGTTATAATGGTTGGGTGTAACATGACCCATCATGCTTTAGATTATTGTTCATACATCAGACCTCAGGCTGTGTAGTGTTCTTCACCTTTTATGGGTTCAAAAGGCAAAATAAATAAATAAATATTTTCTAATTTAGTATTACTAGTAAGCGTGTCCGTGCGATGCACATAGGAGATTGCCATGATAATGATTCAAGTAATGTTTGAAACACTGGATGCAAAATAATAAAAATAAGAATATAGTAAGTAAAGCATTCATATTCATCATAATTCGTATAACAAGCTCCATAAAATAATTACCACAAAACAATGGAACATAAATAAATGATTTATGAATCACTCCGGTGCAACTTAGGCATTTACGATTCATGACATATGAGAAACATATAACCAAATAATTTTAATGGAAAAATAGCGCTGAGGTAAAGGATAGCCAAGAAAGCATCTCAGAGTAAGAATGTTGAACTCTGATATGCATTCATGTAGCTAATCATTATCATGCCCCTCCCTGCAAAATGCGTGCATATATGAGTCAATTCATTCTTACTATTCTAAGGATATGAATGGATATGATGTCCAATGTCATTAATAAAATAGGCTACATGGTTGTTTGACACATTCAGAACTAGACCAGCAAATGAACAGCTTTATAAGATCAGAGATTTTGGTGTTCCTATGTAGTGTCAAAGTAGGTTGTTATTGGATGTATAAAGAATCAAGGTTGAGGGAGACTCTTATGTGGTCATAGGGCAGATGCTCAGATCTTCTGATGGTTCATGGCGGTTCAGGAACTGGATAAGGGAGGATAGATCCTAGACCACACAGATGAAGAACTCATTCAGTTGGGTTTCTCAATCGACCAGTTCTCCTGTGGATAGCCTAGCTATAGGGGAGAAGGTCGAACCCTAACCTGTTCTGATACAAATGATCTGGATGATATTCCTAGCAAACAAAGGATTCCGAAAACAATGACAACAAAACACAATAGACTTGACAATAAAAACCACAATTATTAATGAGTTTAAATGATGCTACAGACCGGGAAACAAAAAGGAAAGCATAGTAAAACGATGGATAATCAGATTAAATAGCAATGACAAAAGAAGGTCGATGTAAAACCCTAAACTGTTCTTGTCGAGGTGGAAAAAAATCCACTTGTATCGGCCGGCGAAGGCCACGTCGATTTCCTCGTTAAGCGCCGACTGAGAGAGCTAGGGAGGCAAGTGCCGCAGCACTACTTTGGTTCGATCGAACGGATCCTACCGTTAGACATATAAGAGAGACACAACCCGTATCAATGAGAGGGAGAGAGATGAAGAGGAAAATATAACCCAAAAATAATAATAAAGGGAGAAAAGGAAAATGGTGAATGTGAGAGATAGAATAGAGATTGAGTTTGTATATACGACTGTGCCTTTTTTTGCGTATTCAGAGGATCAATAAAAACACTCTACACCACTGAGCCAGCCTTTTTATCACTGCCTTTTTTTGTTGTCATCTTCTAAAACATTCACTAAACTAAACCTTGCCGATCATCTTGGAAAACCCTCAAATATCTATTTGTTGACCCCAATCTCTGTATTTACCCTATTCGTATCAACTACCTTCTTCTCTCTTCCTCCTTCTGGGGTCTTCACTCCAAAAGTTACAGAACCACTTTCCCTCCTTACCCCCTTCCCCTTCTTTGCAGATTGCTTTGAACAGTCAATGCCCACCTTAGATTTTCCTACAACCTTCGTGAAACCCATTGGTCCAGGAGATTTTGTTTCTGTTTTATCAAAATTTCCTTTTTGGTTAACATCCAAATCAACCGCTTTACTTGGAAGATCAGTTAAAATAGACTGCACCAATGGGTGAGAACAGTTTCTCTTTGAATAAGAACGTGGAAGGTGTTTGTGGGAGATAAAACCGTGAAGTTGTACCATTGGTTTTTTTATTTCAATGTGAGTAAATTATATATATGCCCTCTATATGCATAGACATGTAAGGGTAGAACCTGTCCAATGAAAATTAAAGAAATGAGGCTATTCACACTTATAGAAGTAGTATAGATTATTTTAGTGTTTCTTTTCCATAATGCATTTCCTATAATACCTCAAATTTGTAATTATGCATTCATATCTCCAATCATATACCCCGCCCTATAATTAAAAGGCCAATCTTCACTTTTTCCCAACTTATAAATTTTTATTTATTTAGTGCTCTTATTTTTCAAACCCTTTCTATTGTGATAGATTTCCTCATCTGTTTAACGCTACAAACAGAAAAAAAAAAAAAAAAAAGATAATTATGAGGTGGAAGAATCTGAAAATTTCACCTTAAAGGCCTAATACCATGGGAGAAAGAGGAAGGTTGAAGTGGCAGGTTCTACTTGTCGAGTGAGGGGAGGATGGAATATTGTTGTACTGTGCCTTGGCTGCATATGTTCTTTGCTAACTTGATTAATGATAATTGTATAATAGGCATTGTCATTTCTTTAGGCTGTATATTTGTTTCTTTGTAAAATTTTTTAGGCTGAAATATTTCAACTATTATTTTTATTATCTCTTTTATAATGAAAGCCTAGTTTTTTGCTACTAATTTGTTTTCATGTAAATGACAAGGTAAACAAAGTTTTAGGTAGAAACAACAATTTGTAAATCAGGTACTATCACCTAAACATATTTTTTTGTATTATTATTAGGATTATGTACCTTTCCCATGAATATACATATACACAAATTGGTTAAAAGGCCATTACCAAATGTTGGTCTCATCTATCAGGGGTCTTTGAAGGGGGTGGAGTGGATATAGACATAATTGTTGGCAATTTTTGTTCCACATTGTGGCTGCTCTCAGAATACATCTACAAATTGGTCAATATTGATAGTCCACTTTCTGGTTAATCCTACAATCAATTAGTAAATTCCCTGCACTTAACTCACAAGTTGAAACAAAGAGTGGTTAAAATATTTTCGAAAGGTATGTTGTGAAAGTTGTGAAATGACCTTTAATGATTTATGCCATCAACAATTTGCAATATATATTGGTGTATGCATGCAGTCAATGTTCATTACTCCAAAATAGGTTTTTTCTTTTTTTTTTTCTCAAGTTGCTGAAAATTCAAAGAAGCAAAAAAAGCCAAAATCTGCTGGAGTTGCATCCATGTTGCTGTTTATTTGGGAATATGGAAGGAGAGAAATATGACATTGTTGAAAAAAAATCTAGGAGGATTGAAAGAATCATGGCTAATATAGTTAAAATGGTTATGGATTCGGTGCTGATTCTACCTGATTTAGCTCAGGCAAGCAGAAGAGAGTTTGGAGACAGGTTCTAGGACACTATCATAAATTCAAATGTTGTCCTTGAGTTTATAATCAAGATGCATGAAGGTGTTGCCTTGACACCTAAGTTCAGTTGTATCATTCCTTTAATAAAATTATGTTTTTTTTGACAAGTAAAAGTTATTTTCATTAAATGAAAATAAAGTACAATCTGGATAGGTGTTAAAGGTAATACCTAACAACATCAACAAATACAAAAACAACATATTTTCAATTATCCATATCATAATTTTGAAATCCCATTACTTCCCATAAGCTTTCTCCCAAGTCTACTCTATTGACCTGAGAAAACTCAGGCAATATCAAAACCCAATTTGCAACAGATTCACCAACAGTCACCACCACTTTGTCCAGCTTCCATTTCTTAACTTCACTAAAGTGTTGTATTCCTTTCCTTCCATGCATTCCAGAAAATGGAAAATGGAAGACAGTTTCAGATTATTCTAGCTATCTTTTTTCCTCTGAGTCTCACCTAACGTTCCAGGATAATATCCTCATTTCTGT